GAGTTTGTTCTTATGCTCTTTGAAAAAAGTGAGAAAATTGTAGGAGCTTGTCACTGAGACTGTATCAAAGGGACAACTTTGTACCTAAAGGGTGCATGCTAGTCCCATAAAAGCACATATTACTGCCTTAAAGGGTACAAATTACTACTTTAACATACTAATAGGCATCCTAGATTGCCCCAGTGACAAGCTGTTGTACCCCTAAAGGTACAATTTTTTCACTTTTTTTTCTGACAGTGCACTAATTGACCCACCTAAGCATTTATGTCTATCTGTTTATCTATTGTAAAGTAAATTATGCTAATTAACAAATTCATTATATTCTTTATAGCATTATTCTGCTTCATTAAAAACAGATTTGTAAAAATATAGAAATATAAAGTAATGTAATGTAAAACAAATACTGTAAATTCTTCAAAATATAAATGGTAGGAAAACAGCTGAATAAACAGAAATAAATGTACAGATTTGTAACCAACAAATACCCTCAGTCTGTTGACACCAAAGAAATAAGTTTTAAGTGGCAAGCTTATAAAACTGCTCCATTGAATAACAATATTGTTATTTCTAAAAAATATGACATAAATAATACAAAAACAAATACTAATGACACTCATCAGCCACTACAGCTAAATAACTACAGCAGTCCACATGAATCTAAATATAGTTTTATTTTCTAGTAAGTACATTCATTGCAATAAAGTAACTTAATTAGAAAATTTACGTTACATTGTATGTGCAGAAACCGACAACAATCATAAAACCAAAAATAAAAAGCACCAAAGCAATGTTTTCAGCGTCATACTATATTCATATTTATCGATTAACGTTTCTGTATAGATTTAAAAGGTCTCACGTATAGTCTCAAGGTAAAGTATTAAGTAGTATCTGTTCCAGTGCATTTTAACAATGTAAAGTAACTAACAAATTTGATCCAAAAACGTCAAAAGAGTAAAAAAAATAAAAATAAAATGGCAGCAGCAACACTTGAGATTGATTCCCATCAATTCTCCTCACAGATCTCAAACTTTGACTTTTGACTTGACATTTACAGTTCAACATCGACACAATCACACAAACATAACCAGCCAGTGTTCAAAACTATTGCCTTACTTTAAGCCTGTTTCACAACAGTTAGCTTATAATAATGTTTTCTAACTTAGGTTTTCGCGGGAAATTCGAGCATTCTGCTGCGTCATTACGTCACGTCTGTAAACATAAAGAAGTTGTCCCGGCTACTAGGCTATTGCATGTGAGCATCCTGCAGGTGGAGGATCGTTTATAGCCTTTTCTCACAGCAGCCAGAATAATTAAATGTATCATTTTGATGGCAGATTGTAATCCAGAAAGGATCATGTGTTTATGAAACACATGTGAATGAAATTAAATTATATTCCAGTTTTAAATGTGCTTCTGATTACAGATAGCCTGGGGTTACACAAGATTTGTATTTTAAAGACAACCAGTTCGAAGAGAGCATAATTTGCTTTTTGGGTTAAAATAATTTCTTAATATGAAATTCGAGTGGTATGACTATTAGAGATTAGACTGTGCAGAAATTGAAATCTACTCGCTTATACACACTACTCATAGTCACGCAATGCTGATGCTGTTAACATTAACAATTTGAGAATACACTATAACAATAATAATAATTTGCACGGTTTGTTGTGATATGAGCTAATTTAGATTAAATCACCATTGGTAGCGTGATTTATTGTAATGCTGTTTTCCTCAGTTGGTCAGAACAAACGTGGCAGACTTGTTACTTACTTGTTCAGATGACAATATCCGGTGAAAATGCTTATTTGGGTCATATATTACTAGACGTAGGCTAGAATCTGTGATTCTGAAGTACAGTAAATATCCACACTGGTGCGGTGACTGACTGCCACACACACACACACACACACACACACACTCCTCAAAACATTAGATTCATCCGCGTTGGAGCCGCGCCGGAGCACAACCCACTCAAGGAAGATAATTCCGCAAACAGAGATGTGACAAAGAGGCAAAACTTACGGACTGCAGCTTTAAACAAACTGTGTAAAGTGTGTTTGATGGTTGTGTTTAAATGTGAGAAATACCCTGAGCTGCTCACCTCTCCTCAGAAGACTCGACGCTGAATGAAGGAAGGCGCAGGGTTACCAGGTTTTCACAACAAAACCCGCCCAATTGCTATGCAAAACTAGCCCAATCACATTTCGAGGGGGGTTCCCCGATTAAAATTGTGTTCTGGGGGATAAAATACACGTTTTTTGGCGGGGTTCCCCTGGTAAAATTCACATTTTAGGGGCTAAATATCACGTTATTGGGGTCGCTTCAACCCACGGACATGAAAAACAACCCGAATCGACTGTTAAAGTAAAACCGCAGAATTGGCAACACTGGAAAGGCACGAGCGGTGACGTCATCGGCCGCCAACGGTCAAATTACTGTTTACAATGACAAAACATCTATTTAAAAAATCAACATCCCTTACGAAAAGTAACCATGGTTACTACACTTTTACTACAATAAAACCATGGTTAATTTTCGTAAGGGATTATCACACAAAAATTGCTCTGATCGTTGTGTAAAGCTGTGGTGACATGGAGACAGTAATCAGTTCAGTTTATTCTGTAAAACTTAAAGTTCATAGTAATTGTTCTTCACGAAGCCTCATGGTGTGAATGAAGCATTAAACTGACTATAAAAACTCTTTGAAATGTACATACGACACTGGATATCAAGAGTGAAACTGTTAATAACAAACAGCAATCATTAAATGTCAGTCATGTGTGGGGTAAAATATAATTTATTAGGCATTTAAAAAGCTCTTGAGAAAATTAAAACATGGAAAGCCACAAAAGCAAACATAATGGACCCTTTTCACAAGACTGTGATGCCACGTTTCAATGGTCGTCAGCACCGTAAACCCTCCAAAGTTTTTTTGTATTTTTATGAGGGTGTTTCTAATACAGCGTCTATGGGACATTAAATTTGACATTGTTCTCTCTTCTGATTGCCGTTATCAGTCTCTCGCTCTCTTTCTTAAAGTTGTGAAAACACTATCGTGGTGTAGGGGAATTTACAGTTAAAACCCAAGAACCAGGTGTGTTGAATGAAGACCAGAAGTCAGAGATGCAATCAACTGCAGTTAAATTTACTGAAGAAAATAGTTTGCAGTTTCATCAGCAGAAGTCAGCTTCAATATTCGCGAAGAGTTTGTAGGCCGCTCTGCGTACATGTTAACAACACCAGTAATTATACTCTAACATAGGTCAGTAATTACGTCAATACATAGGTGATTGGTCTGATTGGTCAGTTTACGGAAAAACAAGTAAACTCTTAACAGATGCACATAAAATTGATAAAGCATATCTCCGAAGGTTATTTAGATGACAAGTGATTAGAGGTCACACACACAACGTTCTTCTCCTAAAACGTATATCTGCCACCCGGACACCAGGGTGACGGAAGATATCCATATTGTCTTTACGCATGGGTGCCGTTTGTGAATCTCCCTGAAGACTGGTAGCAACTGGTCCTGCGCAAACAGATAACAACACACATACATAGAGCAACACTGATCTCCGTCAAGGTCGGGTTATGTTATTACTCTTATCATCTACACACAGTCAGGGAGTCTCTTCCTTGAGAGAGAAAGAGGGAGAAGATTCAGTCCATATTCAGCACATTCTTTTACATACAGACATATAAAACCACCTAAATGTTTGGGGTACACATTGGTCACGTAGGCAAGAGGCCCCAATGACCTCTATGGCCAAGGCATTCAGTGACCTATTGAACCGGAGAGGAGAAAGCCAAAGTTCACATATGGAGAGGCCCGTTTCATCACATTAAAGGGACACAGACACATTCCAACAGCAGTATGCATACATTTCTTTGTGTTTACTACTAATATGTGGTAACTAATAACTTTATTCAATCAACTACACTCTATGAGGTTAAATACTGATTAATAACTTGATTAATAATCACACAAGAGATAATATAATTGATTTTATTATGAAGGCCATGGTAGATCGACATCCACTACATCAGTGGAGTTTTTTTTTTACTATTTGAGCAAATAGGAATGCAAAAAAATTAATATTTATGGTAGTCTCCCATTCACTGCCACAGAAGTTTACCCAACTATGAAGACTTCGCTGCTGAGAAACCATGAAATGTGTAAAAGGTCAATAGGCAACATCATGGCTTTCAGAACTAAAACTATTCCTGATACAAACAGAATGAGCATAAAATAAAAATGGACAATAACAATGACTACGTTTACATGGACATCAGTAATCTAATTATTTACCTTATTCTAAATAAGCCAATATTATGATTAAGGTGTTTACATGAGTTGCTTTTAGAATATTCCTTTCATGTTCCCATTTTACATGTTATAGTACATAGTTCGATTAATGGCACACGGCATTACGTCCCCACGTGACGCCATCCGACGTCCCCTTCGGAATTTCACGTATAAACATATAGTTCGTCTTCGTGATGATGCCATGTACAGTTTTGGGTGTTTGCAAGAGGCCCCAATGACCTCTATGGCCAAGGCATTCAGTGACCTATTGAACCGGAGAGGAGAAAGCCAAAGTTCACATATGGAGAGGCCCGTTTTTTCACATTAAAGGGACACAGACACTTTCCAACAGCAGTATGCATACATTTCTTTGTGTTTACAACTAATATGTGGTAACTAACTAATAACTTCAATCAACTACACTCTATGAGGTTAAATACTGATTAATAACTTGATTAATAATCACACAAGAGATAATATAATTGATTTTATTATGAAGGCCATGGTAGATCGACATCCACTACATCAGTGGAGTTTTTTTTTTACTATTTGAGCAAATAGGAATGCAAAAAAATTAATATTTATGGTAGTCTCCCATTCACTGCCACAGTTTACCCAACTATGAAGACTTCGCTGCTGAGAAACCATGAAATGTGTAAAAGTTGTCACACTCAAAGCACATGTACTCCTTCACACCAGTATGTATTTTCTGATGTATTTTTAAACTTTGCAGCAGTGAAAAACTCTTTCCACACTCAGAACATGAATGCGGCTTCTCCTTCGTATGAACTGTCAGGTGTTTCTTCAGGTTTGATGCCCAGAAAAAGGTTTTTCCGCACTGGGCACATGTGAACGGCTTCTCTCCGGTGTGGAGCCTCATGTGAAGTTTAAGATTTTTTTTTATTGAGAATCTCTTTTCACACAGTTCGCACATGAACGGCTTCTCTCCCGTGTGGATCCTCATGTGAAGCTCAAGACTTGCTTTGATTGGGAATCTCTTCCCACATTGATCACATGCATAAGGCTTCTCTCCGGTGTGGATTCTCATGTGAAGTTGAAGTCTACTTTTAATTGAGAATCTATTTTCACACTGATCACACTCGAACGGCTTCTCTCCGGTGTGGATCCTCGTGTGAATCTTAAGGTACGCTGAATCTGTGAAACTCTTCCCACATTGACCACATGCGTAAGGCTTCTCTCCAGTGTGGATCCTCATGTGTTTTTTAAGGTCTATTTTTTCTTTAAAGCTGTTCCCACACTGATCACACGTGAACGGCTTCTCTCCGGTGTGGACCTTCATGTGTCTTTTATGTTTTGAAGAGTCCATGAAACTCTTCCCACACTGATCACACATGAACGGCTTCACTCCAGTATGAGCTCTCATGTGATGATCAAGATTGTGTTTGCTGAATTTCTTTCTGGAAGTGTAGAGGATTTATATTCGTCAAAATTTGAATTAATCAAGTATAATCAATGTGAATATAGCCATTTATGTATCAAGTTATTCTACTATTATAATCATGTGTTTGCCTGCGTGTGTATGGAGGCCTGCAGGAGAATGTGCAGACATTACAAAAATACATTTTATGGTGAAGCTGCAATTCCTATTTGGATATTAGACTAAATATATGATGAGGCCTCCTCGTTTCACTGAACATAAATCGAGGCCTCCTGTCTACTTCCTAACAACAGACTGGAGGCACAGCCAAAAAAAGAGAAAAAAAAAAGATGATAAATAATAACGACAATGTATGACATTTGTTGAACACGCCTTGAGGAAAAACTGTTTAAAAGAGTGTGCAGACACAGACTCTATAGATTCTCTGCAGAGTTTCTCGGCTTCATTGTCTAATAATGATAATAATAAATTGATAATAAAAAGTCTATCTTCTGGCATCAAAACCTCAAGACTTCGAGAATGATTTCTCACAGAAACGGCAGAAGCCACCACAGAAGAAGCAGATTTCCTAACATCAACAATAAATCAGTTTCAAAGAAAAAAAGAAAGCAATTTTTTTTAAACTAATTTACACATTTAAGCATTTATGCAATTGAAGCAGAAGAGACCAGAGCCTTACAAATACAGTGTTGTCTCTTTGTAAATCATTATAATAAATCAGTTTCAAAGAAAAAAAGTAATTTACACATTTAAGCATTTATGCAACTGAAGCAGAAGAGACCAGAGCCTTACAAATACAGTGTTGTCTCTTTGTAAATCATTATATTACTATATTAAAAGTAACAGCGTCGACACAGAGCACATCAGTTTAAAATGTTATTTTAATAAATAACACTGCACTCACGTGTTAATTCACATATTCATTTCTGTTTTGTCTGTCTTTCTATTGTTAATATTTATATCCATATTTTTTTTTCATTCTGCCCTCTGTATTAACATACAAAAAGATCTGTATAGAATTTAGAAAATAATAGAATGTAAATTTTTCCAAATATAAAGCGAGGCTTGGACGTAAATGTTCAATCCTGTGTTTGGGTAACAGCTGTGGTGGTGAGAAATCATATATTTTGTCTAAATGTCAAAACAGGACGTGCAACTTCATCATATGTAAACACAAACTCATGCAGGCTTCTATAAACGCAGGCAAACACATGATTATAATAGTAAAATACCTTGATACATAAATGGCTATATTCACTTTGAATATACTTGATTAATTTATATTTTGATAAATACAAATATTCTACATAGCTTGCATTTTTTACATTTTCGATGTCCTGCCATTGCAATTGTTTAAAAAAATATATATACAGTATATATATATCTCATTACATGGTTGAAACATCTGTCAACAATGTGAAACATGTATACGTATGATTACACATGCTTTATAAGTCCTGGTTGTGGCAAATAGAGTTTAAGTACTGAGTTACCACAGGCTATGATTGACTGATCAATAATTAAACAGAAGAAACTGACACCCATCTTTATGAACCCCTTCAGGCAAATAACTACAACACAATAATATGTCCATATGAATCTAAATATAGTTCGACTTTCTAATAACTACATTCACTGCAATAAAGTAATTGGATCATGTTACAGGTTTCTATGCACAGAAACTGACAATATTCATGTACCATTTAAAAATAAAGAGCACCACAAAACAGTGTCAAAATATATTCATATTTATCAATATTAACATTTATACATAGATGTATTAAGCATTATCTGTTCCAGTATATTTAATGTAAAATAACTAACCAATTTAATCCAAATAAGTCTAAAGAGTAGAAATAAAATCACAGCAGCAACACTTGAGATCGATTCCCCTCACAGATCTCTCAAACACAAAATCGCTCAGGTCTGAATGAATCAAACATATTTTCCTCACATGCTCGCTGCCTGAGCCGTAGATTTCTTCTGGCTCTGTGAAAAATCACTCTCAGTCTTGAGCTGTGGAGTCGGTCTGCAGAGCAACTGTGGAGTCTGGCTTCATGTTCCTATATATACATACCATCCACTGCAGCGGCATTCCTTGCATGCCACTATTTGCAGTCTTTATTTTAAGAAGTGGAACATCCGCAGCACGGATCGCTTTTGGGGGAGTTTCCACTGTGTACAGTACCTGGTGTTTTTTTCAGTACCACCTCGGCTGGGGGTCGAGCCGTACCGTTACCAGAATGTGACGTGTGTAAACCCTGGTCACTGATTGGCCGGAGAGAATCGTCACTACCTGCGTCACTGAACTTGCTACACGAGACACAACTAGTGATGGGAAGTTCGGATCATTTTACCAACTCGGGCCTTTGAGTCTCGTTCAGCAAAATGAACGAATCTTTTTTCAAGTCATTTCATTCATTTTAGCAAAATATAATTAAAATGTTACGTGCTACTTCCCTAACACGTCTACTACTTACGCAAACGTTGATCACACTACAAACAATACAAAACTACAATAAGAAACAGAAAAGATTAATTAGACACAACAGACCGGCTAGATTTAACTTTTTTGAACGAGCGCACCGTTTTTAAACAACAAAATAACGGCTGTTTCGTGGTCTGTTGAGGAAGTACGTTCCTCTCGTTGAAAGCCGAGGAGCGGATCCAGCGAGAGCTTGATGGGACGACGCGGAATGAACACGTTTTTCAGGAGTAATAATGCAGCCCACTCTTAAACAGTACTAAACTGCAGTGGAAAAGCGCCATTACAGTCCTCTGCATTCAGACAACTACAGTATGAGTGTAATAGGAAAATAACTTGTTCACATGAAAGGCTATTGATTATCCTTCATTGGCTACATTACATATACTTCATATTCTGATTAATAAAAACATTCCATACCTGCTTCAGATAAATGTATATTTAACTAAGACGCTAGAACCCGTGTGCTCGATGGAAACAGTACAGAAATGAGCCCGTACAATGTCGCTTAAAAAACTGTAAAGTGTGTTTGATGGTTGTGTAAATGTGAGACATACCGTGAGGTGCTCGCCTCTCCTCAGAAGACTCGGCGCGGAATGAAGAAGGGAAAGGCGCGAGCGGTGACCAGGGGCGTGTCTACGTGGTGGCACCGCCCCCCCTGAAATTTGGCTGGCCACCCCAGGTGCCCCCCCCTACCAGATGTCTTGCGATAGGCTTGTTTTTAGTAAATTTCTAACTGCATCTGGCAGTGGCGGATCCTGGCATGTGTAGGCAGCTGCCTAGGGCCGCTTTCTTCTCTTCTTTATACTTAATTTTAGGCGGTTTCTATTGTGTGATCTTAATGACAAGAGAGCGCATAATGTTACGCGATCGATGTGCGCGAGGACGAATCTCTCCACTCCCAAGCGGATTTCCTTCACTCACACAAAACTGGACGTGTGCTTTTAAATATCGTTCTTTTATGAATTGGCTCTGCTCTGTCACTGTCTTTGCGTGTACACGCTCAAACATACTTCTAATTTTGATAGGGTAAAAATCCTATTTAAAGCTATATATATATATATATATAGCTTTAAATTGGATTTTTATCCTATTAAATTTTTGATGCATTGAAATTTTATAATTCAATATTAAAAAAAATAAATAAATAAAAAATACTAGCCTAAGTAAAAACAAGCTTATACTTAAGACAAGTAAACAGACACAAATTACAAAAAATAGACCTACTTAAAGCACTGAATAAGAAATTATATTGTATAAAATAAATGTACAAATAAACTGAATAGTCTTCACTGTATAAATTCAATATACATTCATTCTTATTTATTTTACAAAAGTGATTCGGTCAAGGACAGTGAGTGATTTTCTTTCTAATGTTTGATTAACATTATTGACAAATTTTAACAGCAGCTAAATTAGGCTGCTTTAGAGGAATAGCTCACCCAAAAATTAAAGGTCTGATGTTGTTCTAAACCTGTATGAGTTTCCTTCTGCTGTTGAATGTCTCTTTATATATTTGGAACAATACTGGTAACCCAACAGTTGCTGGGCCCCCATGACTTCCATAGTATGAAAAACAAAATACACTACTGGAGTCAATGGGGTCCAGAAACTTTCTAGTTACGAACAGTCTTCAAAATGTCTTCTTTTATGTTGAGGAGAACAAAGAAATGCATACAGGTTTAACTTGAGGCTGAGTAAATGATGACAGTATTTTCATTTTTGGGTGAACTATCCCTTTAAAATCTCATCATATTAGGATCTCATATAACCTACTACTACACATGCTTTATATTTAACTATTAACGTTCGTTTAAGACACAAATAACTGTGTTGACGAGGAGACATTTTGACACATAACTGTGCATTTGAACGTTTAAGCACAAGGCGCGAAAAATAATTCAAGTTTAGACTGGCGCTGTACGAGCAGAAGCATTTGCCTAAATGAATTCTGCCCCACTGCTTAATGTCCCTGAAAAGTTACATTTGCTAAGTAAAAACAAGCTTATACTTAAGACAAGTAAACAGACACAAATTACAAAAAATAGACCTACTTAAAGCACTGAATAAGAAATTATATTGTATAAAATAAATGTACAAATAAACTGAATAGTCTTCACTGTATAAATTCTATATACATTCATTCCTATTTATTTTACAAAAGTGATTCGGTCAAGGATAGTGAGTGATTTTCTTTCTAATGTTTGATTAACATTATTGACATAAATTTTAACAGCAGCTTAATTAGGCTGCTTTAGAGGTATAGCTCACCCGAAAATTAAAGGTCTGATGTTGTTCTAAACCTGTATGAGTTTCCTTCTGCTGTTGAATGTAAAAGTATATATTTGGAACAATACTGGAAACCCAACAGTTGCTGGGCCCCCATGACTTCCATAGTATGAAAAACAAAATACACTACTGGAGTCAATGGGGACCAGAAACTTTCTAGTTACGAACATTCTTCAAAATATCTTCTTTTATGTTGAGGAGAACAAAGAAATGCATACAGGTTTAGATAGCCGTTCTGACACAAGAGATAGAAGGAGTAGAACATGTCATAGTTAGGGGTGTGCGATATTGAAAAGAAATAATATCTCTATATTTTGTGGGATATTTTCGATAACGATAATTAGACGATATTTTGCCGAGTGTGTTATTGTGCTGATATCTTAAGG